ATTGCAACTATGAAATGTAAGTGCAGAATAAGCAACCTTACTGGTATTCTAAACAATAATGTGGTTATGGTACTAATGACCTAATGTAACCTATTGTTATGAATAAACGTGGCTGGTTGGACAAAGGGTCTCCTTGCCACCTTCCTTGCCCAGCACCTTGTCTCTGTGTCTCCTTTCTTTGAGATTCTTTACAGTTATTCACACATTTCTGCCACTCTCCTCAAAGATTAAATAGCATTAATTATTTTAATTTTAGAAGATATTGAAGATAGCATTATTAAATGACTGTACCTAAACAGTTCCCTTAGCCTTGTGTGAATTAGAGGTAAAGAAAAATAATTTTTATGAAAACGTAAAGATAATATAGAAAGTAGATACATAGAACTGGAAAATGCCACCACCATTCCTGAGTTATCAAGTTGGTCCTAAAAAAAAAGGAGGGGGAGAAGGAGGGGGAGGAGGAGGAGATGAAGACAACTACGACAAATGTGGTTTACTTTTATAGAAACATTAAAGAAGTTTGCCAAGTGAGCAAGCAAATAAACCAATAAAAAAGAAACATTAAATGAGTAGATTATTTTAGAAAAATATTGCTGGATGTGGTGGCACAGGCCTACAATCTCAGCAGCAGGAGGATCACAAGTTCAAAGTCAGCCTCAAAAACTTAGTGAGACCCTGTCACAAAATAAAAAATAAAAAGGACTGGCGATGTGACTCAGTGGTTAAGTGCCCCTGGGTTTCATCCCTGGTATCAATAAAGAAAAAAAAAAACATTAAGGCATTTATTCTTAACTTAGAGGAGTTTAATTAAGTACAAAATGAGACAGAAAATGCCATGCAATGTTTAAAAATAACTCCTATCCTCCTTTTCTATTCTAATTATCTCTTTATTTGTTTCACCTTTCCAAGTAAGTGTGCATATACAGACACACATACAATTAAGACTCTTCCAAAATTGCTTGATTGTATGATTCTTACTAGACTTCATGGGTGATAATCTCTCATTGTTCTCTCTTTCTCTTTCTTTCACTTCTTTCTTGCAGTAAGGCAAGAAAGATGATTAAACTCAGGTCTTCAGGCAAGGTAGGCATGTGCTCTATCACTGAGCTAGATCCCGAGTGCCAGATCTTAATGATTATAATTTTGTTTTAGCCAACCACTACCTGTTATAATTTCAAGTGATTCAATGCTCAGTGTATGAATGTTGCTTTGTTGAGTATTTTTTAATATCTAGAACTTCCGGAATGTTTCATGGAAATGAGAATTAAGGAAATTCCAATGTGAGATAATGTTAAGAAGTTTTCATTCTTAGCAACCATTTAACTTTGCTAGAATCGACTTCCAAGATGATTATTTACTAATGAAAATCAAATGACTATGTATATGTTTTTGTATCATACAAACAATAACGTGACATTGTCCAGTGATTACAAACACAATATGAGACAGTGAATGCTACATACATACAATTTACATATGCTTGAAGGAAGACTTTTTAATGAAATATTACAGTGTGAACAATAAAAATTACTATAAATAATTTATTGAAAGTCTATAAAAATGATTATCAATGTTTGTCTGATACATTTTTCATAAAACCTCAGCAATCAGAATTTCATTGTTTTACAATACTTTACAATACTATTTCACCTTAGAGCATAAGGCTGAACTTTGAATAATTCTGGGGTTAGGGTTGACAAGTCCCTGCACAGTTGAAAATTAATACATAACATTAATTCTTCCAAAGATTAATTACTAATAACCTGCTGCTAATTGGAGGCCTTACTGAGTACATGAACAGTCAACAAACTGCTTATGAGGAAATGATCAGCATCATAGGGTGTTTTAAGGGGGTACTTGCAATATTTGAGCTCCCTAAAATAGCAACAAGAGATGGCTACAAAATGAGTATGTAGTATAGTATTATAGTATAGTAGTATAATAGTATAATATAGTAGTATAGTATTACTATGGTTCATTTCAAGCATCCTTTACTTGTGATTACATGTCTCCTCACTGGAAATAGCACCATGTATTGTGTTTATGTGCAGAATTTCTGATAGATTTTAAGTTTCTATAATAGATTTGCATATGTTTTGTGGTAGTAAATGATAAACTAGACTATTATCTATATATATTTT